AGTATTTATCAAAAGAATAAGAAGTTGTGTAAAAGTAGACTTCCTTCCCTAAGCTATTGAGTTGAGCATTAATGCACATTTTAGTCTTGTCATTTCAAATCTGAAATGTATACTCATAAGTAGACATAAAGGAGTGCATTTATATAGAAATATTTATTTAATCTGAAAAACAACATTTAAAAAAGTCTGTTTTTACAGCAGAGATGAACATGTTTACAGCTTGGTACAAAACAAACAAATAGGTGTGATTAGCTCATGTCTCGATGGACACACACTGTACGGGGGGGTGAATGTTTTGATGACTCATCAGTTTTGATTTGATGAAGAATAAGAGTTATTCACAATAAGGCGTGTAGCTGACCAGCTTGACAGGTGGGCGCGGTGTAACGGTTTGTCAGGAGGTTTAAAACCCGTCTCAGCTCCAGCTCTCAGCCTGTGGGTGACATCACTCAGTCCATCCGGGGGAGACCTCCCTCACAGCGAGCTGTTGAAGAGAAGCAACCGAAGTCCACCTCAGAAGAACCAACAAATACAGATGTTGTTGAGGCTCAGGTTTCTCTCTGGGCACCTCGACGGACAAGTCCCCAATAAGTCCAATAATCCACACTGTGTCTATAGGAGAAATACAAAGGTGTTCAATTAATGCCTCAGACAACACAAAATGTACAGTTAACTACATGTGACAGCTCAGGGTGTTTTTTTGTTATGAGCCACATCTGCAGGAATGATATTGAACGAGGTAGCTGCAACTCATAATAATAGATGCCAGTCTTAAACACAATTTTTTCTAATACTTGTGTGAAGCTGACACTGTCCACAGACTCCATGACTTCACGGGGTTCAATAGAAAACAAATATCTTATAATAAATACTAAATAATTATTTTTCAATTGTCATGTTGACCTCATCGCTGTTGACATCAGTAAATATAAAACACAGACATTCCTCTTTTTGTCAGAACAGTAACATGAACTGTATGCTTTGTAATATTCATTTCTTCTGGATGTCTCATATTTATTTACAGTGTATGGATAAAACTTTGTTAATGTATTTCTCTGCTAACACTGACAAAGTCTGACTGCTCTGACAAATAACTAATAACCATAGTTGTATATTTAAAAAAGTGTAGTTTTAAGACTTTAATTAAATATTTGGGTTGAATATAATTAGTTTTAACTGTGTTGTAGAAAAGTTAAATGTTAACTTACTGTTTATAGAGTTTTCTCAGGACGAGCAGGAATAGTTGATGATAGCAGCCTAGCTGTTAGCTATGCTGTGAAGTGGACTGCTGACGTCGAGCTGAATGGGCGGAGCTAAGTCCTGCCGGTCCCGCCTTACTGCTGTTGCTAGGTTGATCCGAAGTTACGTTGAGACTGCAAATCCAATATGGATGCGGCCGTCGATTGGACTCATTTTCTGCCGATGTCACAGACGGGTCAGGGTTCGTCCAGTAATATTTACAGTCTATGCTTCGTACCCACGTGGTCGTTCACGATGGCGCAAACCTAACAAAGACCTGGGTGCGTGCGTGCATGTGTGGATGAAAGGGAGAGAAAAGGGGGGGGAAGATTACTTCGTCCCACGTGGTCACCCTTCCGATGGTGCACACCTAACAGAGACCTAAATGTGGCCTTAATGTCTAAAAGAGACCGAGTTTGGCCCTACACGATCTGTGTCTCTGAGGCGTCTGGATGGCTGCGAGTGAATAGACCTCTGTGTGTGTGTGTGTGTGTGTGTGTGTGTGTGTGTGTGTGTGTGTGTGTGTGGGGCCTACGTGCGTAATGGTGCGGTGGTGGAGTTAGTCTCCAGATGTACGTTTACACGGGAATATGTGTGTGTTTGTAGAAGGGGAAATAAAAGAGGATAAAAGAGAATAAAAGAGAAATGCGTGCCTGAAGAGGCCGGATCACAGTCCGACTCCCGCACCACAACTCGGAGTAATTCCCTTCATTCACAGAAACAAACCAATAGCCGAATTCAAGTTAATACGGCTTACACTGGCCTTTCTGATCAGAAGAGTAATACCTGGTTATAACGCTGTTACGCTAAACACATATAGGACGCAGCGGTCCGAAACAACAACAAGATTTTTAAACAGTTAAAACTCAGGACGCAGCGGTCCAACAAAGATACAAATTCCAGTTTCTGCTTCGATCAACAATTGTTAAAAACACTCTCTAAAGTTAATTCTGCCCAGACCTAATTAAGCCTCACTTGTGAATGACTTTGTCCGCGATTGGAGAAGGAAAAGAGTCCGGCGATGGAGCAGATCTTCTGTCCGTCCTGGTGCAGAGGTGTCTGATGGCGGCGAGGGTCCCTTACGGCGAGAGCGGCTTCGTTGGTTCTCCGTCGAGTGGAAAGATGTCCTTTGATGTCCTTTCGTTGCAGGACGGAATAAGACCGTTGTCTTTCTGATAATCTGTTATAGTCTGCCGCTCTCCGAGAAACTGAGATGCGTTCACTGGACAATCCGAGCTCGGAATTTAGAACACTGCCGGTCGCGGATTACCTGCGCGCCAAAAAAACTTAAAACAAAGAAAGATTGTTGCAGGAAACAGGGGGGTCTACCTCAGGTCCCCTCCAATGAGGAGAGAGAGGTTCCGGTCCCCCCCTTACTTCACGCGTAGGTGTGAAGTACCGCAGGGGATTCTGGGATTAAGAGTCCTTTTAGGCCTCTTAAAAGGACTCTTTGTGATCCCAGTGAATAACTCAAATGAGGCTTTTACAGAGGTGCAGGCCCAAGTCCATTGTTTGACTGTCCTAAGCCTGCGTGGCCCAACAATACTGACGAACAGATAACATAATGCAGACGTTTAATTACGTGCACGGAGATCGTAGTGGTCGCGTGCAGACACTTTAGACAGTCACTATATAAACGTCATTCTCTTTCTATTGGCTCGAGGTGAAATCTCTGGAGTATATGCTGCCGCGTTCAGACATCAGCTCACTCGGATATTCTGCGGATAAAATACTAGGGGTCTGGCCGGATAAACTCCGGGTAAAGTCCGTGAAAAATGCGTCTGTTTGTGTTCACACATAGCCTAAAGAACCTCCGGGTAGACTAATCTCCGGAGTTTTTCAGGAAATTTCTATGTGTGTGAAAAGGGTTTTTGTGACAAATGATGGATCAAGTCCTGTCAAATAATAACATTTGTTCCAAGTCTACAAGACATAATTATGTGGTTGAACATGAGAATGCGGATCAGTGAGAGCAGAAAAACAACAAAACAATTGACGACCAGTCAGCGGTGGGTCAAATCTGACCAATCAGGTTTGATTATGTAAATTGTGCAGTTGGGGACAGGCCTGCAAATCATGATGTTCTGTAAATAAAATAATTTTAGTTGCTCTTGTCTTGTGAATGAACAGACCTGTTAAGTACACAAAGTAGCAATTAGAGATGAAACTAAGGCTTATCTTTACAAGTTTATAGGCATTCCTGTTTTTTTCTCATCCTGGGTCTATGTTTAGGTATGACGCTACTAAAGTCTTAAAAAGCTTTTCCCTCAAATGTGCTCAAGATCAGATAAAAGAAAATGGTTTTTTTTTTTAACAAGTATTGTGTGTGGTAAGTGTGAGAGGAGTGAAAGAGCACCAAGGGCTTCCTCCCACACACAGCTGCTGGATAGATCTGCTTCAAAACAACTTGCTTTTCAGCTCTGAGTTTGGCCGGAAAGTTTTTCTGACAGTCTCGTCATTTAGCAGCTAAACTTCCGCTGAGGACCAGGGGCCTTTTTTTTTTTCTTTTTTTTAATATTTATTAGGTGATGCAGAACAATACAAGACGAGTGACGAACATGACAAGAGCAATAGTATGTAGGAGACAGGGGAGACTTGATGAAACAATGCACAGCATAGACAGGGTGAATTATCATAGTTTATACTATTAAATGCCATAATACAACTAAGAAATTCTTGGTCCCAAGTCATCATTTCCTCGTTGTGGTCTGACATTGACCTCGTCCCAGTTGGAGTCATGTTTCTCGCAAAGATTCAGAGAACACAGTTTAGTTTTCATCTCTTCTTCTTTCTCTCTGTCCTTTCCTGCCGGGGCGTCTCTTTGCTTCATCTAGCCAGTTTTGTGCTTCATTCTAACCATTCTTTTTCTTATGTTTCTTACTGTCCTTACACTGACTTTTTATGTTCACAACCAATCTAGCAGTGTCTTCCAAGGTCACTTAAAACCATACTTTATTTTTAGATATTTCACATTCTCCTTGTCTTTCATGTACTTCACATCTCCCTCATATGTTGGTTCCTCTTAACCACAAGAACAACTATAACTGCATAACTTAATAAAAAACAACAACGTTCTCTAGTTTTGATCCTCAGAGATCTATAACTTGGTGGTCTTCCTTCAGACTTTATTTTCATCCTCAGTGACCTAGATCCTAAGCAAAATATTGTTTAACACTGCCCTGAATCGATTCCTGTTGTTTTTAGTTCTTGGATTTCGTCACCCTGGTCTTCCCTCCAGCAGACACTGGCCTCGCAATTTTACAAACTGTCCTTAATTAAAAGGAACAGGGCGAAGGTCTTTAGTCAGGGGCCCTAGACTCCCCCATGCACGGTTTTCAGACCCAAACCTATTCAGTGCTGATAAATCACCAACTCAGGAGTACTTTGGGCAGTCAAAAGACACATCAATGTTAGTGTGTAGAAGCATAACAAGCCTCTGCACACTGTAAAACTCCAATCAAGCTGGAAATGACATACATGCAATCAGTTGCTTATGACCATGGAGCAGCAACAAGTACATGATGTCATTTCATTAAGTATTCAATATCTGAGGTGCAATAAATTAAGTGTGTCTTAGCCAAAGCAGCACTTTACCAGTACCATATATTCTCTGTCTTAGAGCTGTGTTGTTCTTGTCCTTATATACAAAGTTGTTCAAATGTTCCACCATATTTCAATGTGTTTCCATTTTTGTTATGTATCCACCCCTCCCCCCCTTCCCCACTTACAGCAGCTCTCATGAAATCAAATTGTGTTTCCAGGTGGCGAGCGAAACTGTGGAGTACATGAGCTGATCTGCGTCAGAAAAGGTAGGGCCTATCAGAGCTCTTGAAAGTTGACCTTTGACTTAACATGGCTCCTCCTACTCCACTTTCATCACCATTTATCAGTTTTACACGTCCTCATTCTTCTGTTCCTCTGTCCTGGGGTTGGGGTATATTTACAGTTGTTGGCCTATGCTGTTGTCAAGTGCTAACTGCTGGCATTCATTGTTTTCAAGTACAGTTGACAGAAAAATTTAAAATGAGCCTTCCATGCACCTTAATTTGTGTCATATTTTTAAAAAAGAAAATAACATTTTTGGCTTTGAGAATTTTGTCTAATATACACATATTTTTTTGTTTGTCTACACTGTTGTCAGGCAGATAGCTTATTTTAAATAATTTATAATTGTGATATTACTGTTGGTAGATCAACAATAAGGTAACACTTAAGCCAATTACAGTTTCATATTTTCTAATTTCATTTAATTATTAGATACTTAAAGGGAATCTATTTGGCACAGGCTGGTCGACAAAAAGGATTAGCCGTAGGAAGTTGCAGATACTTTCTGGTCAGTGTATTCTGGTGGGAACTGGCCACTGTTGGTCCCATTTCTCTAATCTCACCCATGTAACCAAAATAACTAGAGCTGTGGGTGAATGTTTGAGTTGGTCATCTCCCAATCAGAAGGTTCCAGATGGATACCCAGCTCCTGCAGTCACGTGTCAATGTGTATCGCTGCTCTGAGATGATGTATGAATGGATGAGTTAATACTGATGGACTCTTTACTCAACAGCCTCTACCATCAGTGTGTGAATGTGTATGAATGGATGAGTTAATACTGATGGACTCTTTAGACTTTAGACTTTATTGTTCCCGAGGGGAAATTCTTTTTCACAGCACCGTTACTGTCCAACAGACAGGTCCCACCAAAGAACATTTATACGCAAAAAAAACTGAGAATAACACAAACAAAGAGAGTTAGACAACAGTCAAGAGTTCCCATTTCTGGCCTGTTCAGCGAGGCCTTTTGTTCAGGACCGTTATTACAGCGGGGATCAGGCTCCTCCCGAGGCGAGCCTTTCTGCACCTTAGTGCTCTGTACCTCCGTCCTGAGGGAAGTGGGCGAGGTGAGTGTTCAGTGGGTGTGTGATGTCCTGTTCTATTGAGGTTGCAATGCGTGTGATGGCCCTGTTATTGAGTTCTGTTAGGTTGGGTGTGGGGAGACCGATTATTCTGGCAGCTGTGCTTGTGATATGTGTGAGTTTGGCCTTGTTTTTTACAGATAACATGTTGAAGAAGCAGGTGGAAGAGTACAATAAGATGGGCTAGATCATGCTGTGATAGAGCAGCAGGAGGAGATGGGGGGCAACATAGAGTCCTTTCAGTTTGCGTATGGCTGACAGTCTTTGATGGCTCTTTTTCTGGATGTCACTGGTGTGCTGTTCAAAACTGAGTTGGTTGTCTAATGTTACTCTGAGATATTTAAAACTGTTAACTATTTCCACTGCTTGAGTGTTGATGAGAAGTGGGTGCTGAGGTGAGGGGGGACTGATTATTAATTATTTTGTCTTAGGGACATTGAGATGGAGATGGTTATTGTCACACCACTGAGTGAAGTTTGTGATAGTGTTGTGGTAGTCCTGGACAGATTTGTTGTCGGTGAGCATGGCAATGATGGCTGTGTCGTCTGAGTATTTGAGGTCTGTGGTGGTGGGTGACGGGCTGGTGCAGTCGTTGTTGTAGAGTGTGTACAGGAATGGGCTTAATACACATCCTTGTGGTGCTCCGGTGTTGGTGGTTAGTGCAGGTGATGAGGTTGTGCCCACTCGCACAGCTTGCAGCCTGTCACTGAGGAAGATGTGAATGAGGTGGATCAGGCGGGATGGGGTGTTGAGCTGGTGTAGTTTCTGGATCATCAGATGCCTTTGAATGGTGTTAAAAGCACTGCTGAAGTCCACGAAGAGGACTCTGATGAAGTGACCTGGGGAGTCTAGGTGCTGAAGGAGGAGGTGCAGCAGGCAGGCCACAGTGTCCTCTCTGCACCTCCATGATAATGGAGGTGAGAGCAGCAGGACGATAGTGGTTGAGTTCAGTGGGCCGGGGTTTTTTAGGCACCGTAATTATTGTTGCAGTTTTCCAGAGGGTGGGTATGGTGGCAGTCCGGTAGGATTCACAGAAGAGTGAGAAGAGTACTGGTGAGAGTTTGTGGGCACAGACCTTCAGCACCCTTGCTGGGATGCCGTCAGGCCCTGGAGCCTTGCCCACCTTGCATCGGCTGAGCTGGCGCTGTACATCCTCTACCGTGAAGGGGGCTGGCTCAGTGGGTTCTGATATAGGGAGGGCTCTTAACCATGCTTCACAGTCAGCTGTACAGTCCAGGGTGTCAAAACGGGCATAAAAAGTGTTGAGCTGTTTTGCAAAGGAGGCTGGGTCAGTTATTGTACCTACTTTGGTTCTGGATTCACACCCGGTGAGAGTTTTGACTTTCTGAAATGCCTGCTTGGTGTTCATGTTGGCAAATTCAGACTCCAGTTTTTCATTGAATTTTAATTTTGCCTTGAAAACCTCATTTTTTAATTGTTCTGTTTGCCAGTTTTAGGCATTTCCAGTCCTTGAGCTTAAAGGCCTTGCTCTTTTCCTTTAGGCTCTGTCTTAGCTGGGGAGTTATCCATGGTTTGTAGTTGGGATACTTTTTCGTTGTTTTTACAGGAATGCTGCTGTGAATGCAGAAATTTATGTAGTCCGTGATGACAGAGACCCTATCATTCAAGTTCCCATCGAAAATGTCCCAGTCAGTGCATGCCAGGGAGCCCTGGAGTTGAGTAATGGCGTCCTCTGACCATTGTGGGGCGCTGTAATGTTGAAGCTTGTGACATTTCAGTTCCTGCCTGTAGAGCGGAAGTAAACAGATAATGTTATGATCTGCAAGTCCGAGCGGTGGATATGAACGGGCATGGAGAGCATCGGTAATGTTACCATACCATAAGTCCAACATGTTTGCCTTTCTGGTGGGAATGTCCACATACTGTTAGAATGATGATAAAACGTTGTCCAGTTGGCATGTGTTAAAGTCCCCAACAATAAACAGCGCTCCAGGGTACTTTGCCATCATAACATTAGCATCCTCAGCGACCAGCTCCGCTGCTATCTTGACATTAGCACTGAGGGCTACATAAACAAAGCTGACCACAAGCGTTGGAAATTCCCGGGGGAGATAGTAGGGACGTAGTGACAGGGTCAGCATCTCTACGTCGGGCATACACACCTTATGGTGCACCTTGATCTTGTTACACCACCTGTCATTGATGTACATACAGACACCGCCGCCCCGCATCTTCCCAGATTGTCCTGTTCTGTCGGATGATTGTGAAGTTGTCCAGGCTGACCTTGGCATCAGAGATGGTCTCGTCGAGCCAGGTTTCGGTCAGGGCGATGAAACAGATGTCCCTGAAGGCCCTTTCCAGTCTGCATCTGGCGTGTAGCAGGTCCATCTTGTTACGGAGTGAGCGGACATTTGACAGGATGATGGAAGGCAGAGGTGGTTTAAAAGAACGCTTTCTTATTCTGCTGCGAATACCTCCACGTCGTCCTCTTTTCCTCGGCCGAAGCTCTGGTGGGAGATCCACAACAGGTTCGATGTTGCAGCGGGAGTTCATCGCAGCCGTAGGTGAGTAGCCTGTTGCTGATGTCAACCGGTAGTGCAAGGCCATCGCAGACCAGCCATAGAATTGTGAGCTGAGTGACGATCCCTTGGAACAACTTGACCATGTCTGAGCAGCAGTGTAGCTCAGATAGAACACTTAACAATACAATAACAGTACACTATAGACACTTAGACGGGACGTGGTGTGGAGTCAAACAGAGTGCGGTCTGTGCTGTCGCAGCGGAGCGTGCGCTATCTCAGCAGCCTCTACCATCACTGTGTGAATGTGTACGAATGGATGAGTTAATACTGATGGACTCTACTCAGCAGCCTCTACCACCAGTGTGTGAATGTGTATGAATGGATGAGTTAATGCTGATGGACTTTTTACACAGCAGCCTCTACCATCAGTGTGTGAATGTGTATGAATGGATGAGTTAATGCTGATGGACTCTTTACTCAGCAGACTCTCAGTGTGTGAATGGGTAGGTGTGACCTGTTGTGTTGGAACTGCTTAGATTAGTCAGAAGACTACAAAAGTGCTAAACAAGCTCAAGTCCATTTACCAGTTCACTGGAGACACAACAATGGCTGCTTCACACATTCTGCCTTCTCGTATGGAACATCTTCATTACCTGCATGTACCCTATTGTGTAAATGAGCATTGTGCGTAAAGTAATGCTGGACAGCTGTCATTTACAGCTGTTATTACTTGTCCTCATAATAAGACCAAGTTAATTTAATATTCTAAAGTGGGGGAGACCATAGCAAAGCGTAGCAAACTACAATAGAACATATCATAGAGCCAATGCCATGACAAGAGACTCTGTACCTTCTATTTGCAACATAAAATACAGATGTACCTCTTTCCCTTCCCACATGTTCACTGGTCTTCCGCCCTTCTCCAAATCAACAGAATAAAGGTTTATGAAAAAAAAAGAAATTAATAAAACTAATAAAAAGTAAAAGAATAGATATTAAATTATGCAGTGTACTGACATGAATCTATATAGGCCATCCAAGGTGCCATATGTATGGCATCTTATTTTCTCTAAAGGGGTGCCTGAATTAAATATAACCTCATTGATCTAAGTCAAGTGATATAAGGGGTATCTTCATGATTTCACTTAGATGTGATGCAATTTTAGCAGCTGTAATGGCCAGGCTCACAAAACCCTTTGCGATGGGAGGTTCAAATCAGTCAAATGTCAATTAACAATTTTGTTAAGAGAAGCAAAAGAGAATCTGCACACGAAGAACCTCTCGTTTAAAGGATTTATTAACAAGTGACATTTTGAGCCAACATGCCTTTCCTCAGACTTGGAACAATACTTTTCTGAGAATATTCACAACTCCAGTCTAAAGGCCCTGACACACCAAGGAGGTCGTTGGCGGTCGGG